GGGGCTATGCCCCCCTCCCCCCCACCCTACTAACACAAAATACTTCACTTTATTAAATAGATGAACGTACAATATATTGTTTATCAAATGTATTAAATTTTATCACTTAATTTTATATCACATATATTCTCTTTTAAGTTTTTTGATTATATTTACATAAAAAATTTCAAGCAAGCAAGCAACTCCTTTTTGCACCACGATAGTCCATAGCTCATTGACCATTAGGTCATATCCTTTGGTTCAATATGCATGCATGAGTTCAAATTCCTTTGCAAGAAATCAAATCAATGCATGATATTTATCCTACATATAAATTATTTATCACTTAACAATGATCAGGTAATATACATTTGCATTTAAGTTTGTGACTTTCATAATTATATTATTTTGTTTGATATAAACACTTGGTATGAGTAATTTACCCCCTTTTTCTGCACAATGTTTTCTAGATATTTGCTCTCCTTGTAGATAAATAAACAAATACTATAGTGACCACAAGAATCATGCTATGTACNGGGGGGTGGTCTGCCTTTGAATTTTGAAGGAAGAGGTCTTATCCTAGCTAGTCTCAGTGAAATGAATGCGGTCAAATCCTTATTTTTATTTTGGTTTTCATTTACTCTATGCCGTCCTATTTTGTATTTCCCATATTTGACTCGACATTTTATTAATAAAGACTTTCAATTTTTTTCCCATTATTTAATAGCTCTTGCTTGAAGATAAATATCTTTAACAGCTTTTAAAGAATTTTAACCTATAAAGATTATCATGTGCAATACTATTTACTCCTTTCATTTCATGTGATGATGATGTTTGATCATAATTCATAACCGAAGTTTAAAATTTTGTATTTGACGTTTATAGTGGTACATTAAAAGTCAAGTTAATTACATAAAAGAACAAAATTTCCCGATAAATCCACATTTTCCGAACTATGCACCAAAAAATAACTTCATAACAAAATTCTCCTTAAAATAACTCTCGTCATGACAAATATATCCCGTAGACTTTTATATTTACAGAAAATGCATGAAAAACCAACTATATCCAAATAAGTGAAAACGGATCTAAGACAACAAATTTGTAGTATAAGGTGCAACTATATGTTGGAAAGCAATGTAGTGGCATCTCATCATACACAAAAATGATATCATAGCGGAGCATTTGAGTTTTCAAGGTTATGAACTAAGTGGGCGTTTGGATATAAGAATTGTAAATTTGTGAAAAAAAGTTAATTTTTTTTCAAATGAAAATAGTATTTGAAAATTAGAGCTGTGGTTGAACATGAATATAATTTGTATTGTTTTTGAATTTTTGTGAGTGATCCGAGTGAAAATTTTGAAAAATAACCTTTTGGAAATTAAAAAATTTACGGCCATACACTCAATTTTGCAATTCAATTTAATGCTGAAAAAGCCTAACTTCTTTTGTAACAAAGTGTTTTCTTTTTTAAGGTAGCAGGAAAACAGAATAGTATCCACAGATTTTTCCTGGATAGGAAAGAAGACAAAGCGCTACAATAAGATCATACTCGTCACAATAAGCCAAATTGACTACACCCATAAAGAAAGTAACATGGTCGATCACTTTAATTGTAGTTCGAGAAATTGAAATAAATAACTTGAAAGCTTGGAAATAAAATTTAATGTATTCATACGTCATTTTATAAAAATAACGAAATCTTGTATTAGTCCAGAAGACTTTGAAATGGGTTTTACAACTTTCCTAACGTGACTATAAAAATTAAAAGGAGATGATCTTCTTTTATTAAATTTATCGTTTTTCCTACACGTTTAATTACTTGAAAAGTTGGAAACAATCTTGCTCCACTCTTAATATCACCATAGAAGAAAATAATAAGATTTTATTAAATAAAAATATCAAATAATTAATGATCACAAGAAAATATTTAAAAATTTAAAAATTAAGTATAACTTTTTAACAGAGATGGTACTCCAATTTTCTTTATTATGGCTAATAAAAAGACTATTCCAGAGAACTCAAAATTAATTGCAACTTGAGAAATTGAATTAACAACTTCGAAATGAGATTTAATGCATTAGTAATGTCACTATACAGAAAAATAATTTTGTATTAAATAGAAGGGCCAGATAATGAATACAAGAAAATTATTTTTTTTAATAATTAATCCTAATTATAACTTTATCCAACATAAAATGCACACGAAGGATGAAAAAGCTTATTAATATTTTGTGTTAGAGTATCGTGCTTTTTACAATGTTTGTGTGTCATTTTTGTTTTCAAATAATTCTTTATTAATTGAAAATAGAGCAGCTCTTTCTTGATATGTTGATCTTAAAAATATTTTATTAATTTAATTTTGAAAGCATCTTTCACTTAAGACAAGTGTTTTTTAGAATTATTAGCATGAATACGTTATATAAGCATTTGAAAAACATCAAAAAAAAAAAATTCGTATTATCTTCTGTTTGAATTTTCTCTTTAACTTTCAATTCTGCAAGTATGTTTAACCGTCATTAACGTTGTTTATTGCGTAAACAAATTTTCTTTTTTTGGTCAAATTCTCATGTCTCCTTTTTCTTAGGATTTCAATTACAATCAAGTATAAAGTATTTTATAGTAAAAATTTAATACTTTTTTCTTTTGCTACAAACTTCAACATTTGCTAAGCGAAAATAAAATCATACTTTTCACTATTAAAAGTTTTTCAACCCTCAAGATTTTTAGGATCTCAAGCAAAGACTTTACTGATTCCCCCTTGAACCGCCAAACGATGTTATCCTTTCGCATTTCAGGAACTTTTGAGAGAAAATAAGGCATATTCAACGTTTAATCATTCTCAGCAAGGGCATAACAAGGTAAAAATAGCACGGGCTAGTCAGTTTTCGGACTGGTAATTGAAAAATAGCCAGCGTTTATAAAGTCATTAAAAAATAGTCACTGTTTTGCTGCAATAAGGACCGGTCCAGCATAATATACTGGAAATTAGTGCACCTGTGTATGAACTTCCAGCTTATTATGCTGGAACTCCAACACGCGAAAAGTTCCAGCATAATATACTGGAAATTAGTGCACCTGTGTATGAACTTCCAGCTTATTATGCTGGAACTCCAACACGCGAAAAGTTCCAGCATAATATACTGGAGATTGGAGCACCTGCATATGAACTTCCATCATATTATGTTAGACCGGTATATTATACTGGAACTCCAGTATAATTCAACATAATAATATACTTGAACTCCAACTCCAGTATATTATGCTGGAATATTTTTCGGATTTTAAACAGTGTTTTCGTTCAGGTTTATCTTTACATGAAAAATGGCTAAATTTCGATTACTTTTGAAATTGTGACTATTTTTCAATTACCACTTGTAAATCTGGCTATTTTTTAATTTCTCCCGTAACAAGGGTAAGGAGGATAACCTTTCCCATTCACATTAAGCAGCTAAGCGAACTTTGGAGTCCCTAAGTCCGCTTACTGAGCCCATAATACCGACTTCATTTAGTTCCCAGAATATTTGTTGACATATGAAGCTACTGCTTCCAGTAAAATATCGCAAGCATGCACTAGAATAGTCGAAAGGACAAACTAAAAGGAGAGATTGTCAGATACAGAACCTCTAAAGTTGCCCCCACCTTTTATTTTGACACCCCACTAACACTTTCTAATTAGGCATTCCAACATCCACCAAAATATGCCTATTAGACACACACTGCTTGGCATAAATGTGGGTATCATACACTCTTTTGAGATGTGATTGTAAAAACTTAATGCTGAAATAGGTCCTAATACAAGATGAAAATTAAAAAGGACATAATTTTTTTTTTGTTTTCTTCTCCATCTTGTTTCTTTGTTGTCGCCACATCCTGCCTACCTCCACCACTATCTCCACAACCTCCATCACCACCATCTCCGCCATCATCATATCCACAATGTCCACTATCTTGTTTCTCTAACTGCTCACTGGCAATATATAGCTTGATCTATCTGTGGAGGAATTTGCTTGATCTCTGTTCCTAGTTCTTGTTCAATTCTGTACCTGCAAGATACAATCGATATCATAAGAAACGACACATGAAGACTAAATGTCCTCCTATCATTAAAAAAAATGAACGTCTCATAAGTAATCAGGTTAACAGCTAAACCAAGGTGTCCAAATCTCCCTGACCGCCCAACCTGCAAAAACAATTATCAATGAGGAAATAGCACAAACAGATAGATAAGTTGATAAGCAAGACAAAGATCTGTAGCACATTCCCTGTGCAAATACGTTTCTGAGTTCTTAGGGAAATCAAAATTGATAACATTGACTGCTTGAATATCTATTCCTCTAGTAAACAAATGTGCAACCATCATGAAAGAACAGTGTTACTAAATCAATCAATTAACATAATAGATACTTTACCACACGACACATACTGATCCTGTAACAAAAAAGTCTCAATGAGATTTAGGCATGCATCATGAAAGATCAATTTCAAGATTCACCATCTAAGAACAATGCGGGGATCATTACAGAATAAAGAAATGGATGGCATACCACGTAAGAGTTAAAAGCTTAGCAACACCAAGAACATGGCAACATGGACAATGGAATAGCAACAACAACATACACAGTATTATCCCACACTGTGGGGTTTAAGGAGGTTAGTGTGTACGCAGACCTTACCCCTACCTTGTGAGGATAGAGAGGTTGTTTCCAATAGACCCTCTGCTCAAGAAAGTATAAGTATCACATTAATGAAAATATAGACAAGAAGGGACAGCACCAAAAGCCATATAAAAGCAGAATAAAGACAACAAGATAGTAAGGTGATCCACAATGAAAGAAAACAACGGTTAGTCATAAAAATCTACTACCAACAGAAAGCGAGACTGCATGCCAATAGTACTGTTATGAACACTCTAGACTATCTACTCTACTACCCTAATGCTCGACCTCCGTACCTTCCTATCAAGGGTTATGTCCTCGGTCAACTGAAGTTGCGTCATGTCTTGCCTAATCACCTCTCCCCACCTCCTCTTTGGCCTACCTCTCAACCCCACACCTTCTCACCGGGGCGTCTGTGCTCCTCCTCACATGACCAAACCACCTAAGCCGCGCTTCCCACATCTTGTCCTCAATAGGGGCCACGCACACCTTATCCCGAATAACCTCATTTCTAATCCTATATAACCTGGTGTACCCGCATATCCATCTCAACATCCTCATCTCCGCTACCTTCATCTTTTGGACATGAACGATCTTGACTGGCCAACACTCAGCCCCATACAACATCGTCGGTCTGACCACTACTCTGTAGAACTGACCTTTAAGTTTCGGTGGCACCTACTTGTCACATAAAACACCGGAAGTGAATCTCCATTTCATCCATCCCGCCCCAATACGATGTGTGACATCTTCATCAATCTCCCCATCCCCCTGAATAATAGACCCAAGGTACTTAAAACTTCCTCTCTTAGGGATGACCTGTGAGTCCAGCCTCACCTCCCCTTCCCCTCCTTGACCAAGACAGAATGTGATGTATTTTGTCTTGGTCCTGCTCAACTTGAAACCTTTAGACTCCAGGGTCTGCTTCCATACCTCTAACTGCGCATTCACACCGCCTCGCGTCTCATCAATCAATACAATATCATCTGCAAATAGCATGCACCACGACACCTCCCCTTGGATGTGGCACGTCAGTACGTCCATCGTCAGGGAAAACAAAAAAGGGTTGAGTGCCGACCCTTGATGCAACTCCATCATAACCGGAAAATGGTCAGAGTCCCCACCCGTCGTCCTCTCGGGTCTTTGCTCCATCATACATGTCCTTAATCACCCTAATGTAGGCAACCGGTACACCTTTAGCCTCCAAACATCTCCACAAAACCTCTCTCTGAACTTTATCATACGTGTTTTCTAAGTCGATGAACACCATATGCATGTCCTTCTTCCTCTCCCTATACTGCTACATCAATGATCAATCTCCTAACAAGGTGGATGGCTTCTGTAGTTATACGCTCCGGCATATACCCGAACAGGTTCTCGAAAATAGACACACTCCTCCCCACCCTTAGCTCTACCACTCTTTCCCAGACTTTCATAGTATGGCTAAGCAGCTTGATACCCCGATAGTTATTGCAATTTTGGATATCACCCTTGTTCTTATATACAGGAACCATCGTACTCCACCTCCACTATTCGGGCATCTTCTTCGTTCTAAAAATGACATTAAATGACAATGGAATAGATATTACTGAAAGCCACAAATTCCATTAAGGAAATGCGTAAACTCCAAATAGAATATAGTTAACCCCACAAACAAAACAAAACTCAACCAAAAGAGGTGGGATTACACCCTATTAACACCGACTAAAAAGAGATAACTCCAGTTAGCACTATTTTTTATCAGATAACAAGTATATGTTTGGTCAGATAATAAGTACATGCAATCTGACGCAACAACGGTGCACTTGCAACCAAATGAGTTACACCACAATATACCAGGCGTCAATATGTCTCATGATATTTGTCTACACGAGAACATATTATGAAGAGAATACTGAATAATAAGCCGCGCCTTTTAAGGAATTCTTATGTATTTAAAAGTACTAATCCCTAAATAAGGATGAATCCTAATATCCATATTGAACATGTGGACACATCAACAAGAATTAATAAGAAGCATATTCACCAATCACTAAGTCACATTAACAACAGAAAAGCATAGCAGGTATGAGTACGAGCAGTGTCAAGCAGATGCATTAACCATACCAGTACAAACAAGGTTCCTGCAGGCACCATTGCGGAAGTCATGAAACACCCTGTTCCTATGATCTTGAAGCATCTTGGCATGAATGTAGAAGCATGAATAGCCCAGCTCAGTAATCTTCTTGGCAAGAAGTTCCACTCGATTTACAGAGTTGCAAAAAATAATTGATTGGTTAATTTGAAGCTGCAACCAAGGAAGAACCATATAGAAACAGGTTAGCATGTGCATGTTGAGCTATTTTACACCTATACTCCAGTGTATAACTAGGACTAACCTTTGAGAAGAGAGTGCTAAGGCAGTGAACCTTCTGCCTTTCTTCAACAAAAGCATAAAATTGTGTTATACCCTTGAGTGTAAGTTCATCCATGAGGTTGATAACATATGGCTTGTTCAAATATCTATCTTTAAAGTCCTTGACAATAACACGGAATGTCGCAGAAAACATCAAGATCTGGCGATTTGCAGGTACGAAACGGATCAGCTGCTCAATGGAAGGTTGGAATTCTGGTGAGAGAAGCTTATCAGCCTGAAGGACAAAAGTAGACACAGTTAGAATTTATAATCACGTATGGTGTCTTCCCAGGAAAGGAGAATAAGAGGGTGGGAAGGGCAAGCAGAAAACAATTTATCCAATTCAAATGAAGTCATAATGTTAGAGAAGGTTGCTACAGTATATTTTGTTCTCAAAATATAAATAAAATTGCATCTAGACTTTGTAGGTTATAACTTTAGCAAACTAAATGCTGGCTCTCCCATTGGCAATGATAGTCTGATTTACTTACTCAAGAAAGGATTACCTCATCCATTATAAGCATGGAGCAATCTTTCAAAACGCACACTTCTTTTTTTGCAAGGTCAAGAATTCTTCCAGGAGTTCCAACAAGTAAATGAACTGGCTGATACAGTCTCTTTTGTTTTCGTTAACGGCATCAAGAAGATGCATAAATTATAAAAGAGTGTAGCAATTGTTAGCTCCTTACAAATGTTTATACTAGTAATAGGGAGCTAACAAAATTCAAAAAACTATCAGGGGAGTCAATAGGGGAAAGATAAGCCTAGTTATACAAATACATGAAGCATCTGGCGTTGAGTTGGTGAGGAGATGTCGATACTCCCTCGAAACACCTGCTGTTTCTTTCATTCCAAATGCTCCAAAAAATAGCTGCTGGTATCATCTTCCATACTTTCCTGATGTTGCTATCAACTTTTCAGTAACTCCAAGACTCAAAAGCATCCCTGATATTATGTGACACGACCCATCTAAGCCCAAAGAGTGATATGAACATACTCCATAAATCAGTTGCAATAGGGCATTAAAGAAAAATATGACTGTGAGTTTCTGCCTCCCTCTGACACATGTAGCATCTATTCACAATCTGAAAATTCCTCTTGGCTAAGTTGTCTTGTGTCAGACAAGCCTCACAAAGTGCAGTCCAGTTGAAACAGATGACTTTGGGTGGCAACTTGATTTTCCATATTAACTTCCAAGGCCATTGGTTAGTTATTACATTGTGAGTTCCTCCTAACTTGTAGGCTGCTTTGACTGAGTACTTTCCTCCATCTGAACTATCCCATTTGAACTGGTCCGGTACTAGAATGTTGCTTGAAAAATTATTGAGTGATGAAAGAAGTCTGAGCAGATCCTCATATTCCCAATCTTACAAGTTCCTTCTAAAAGTTATGTTCCATGCGTTGCCCTCTCTACACTGATGAACTGTTGAGTCTTGATCAATAACCATTTGAAAGATAGCAGAGTAGTCATTCCTTAGGGGTGTGTTGTCTAGCCATTTGTCCTTCCAGAATTTTATTTGTTGTCCATCTCCTACTGCGAAGTGGTGATTTTGTGAGAACTCCTCCCAGAGTTTGCATATGCTCTTCCAAACTCCAACTCCATGTGGCGCTCTAGATAGCTTGGTGCACCAGTGGCTTTGAGTTCCATGTTTGGCATTGACAACTTTCTTCCATAGGCTCTGCTCCTCTTATGTATATCTCCATAGCCATTTCATTAGTAAGCATTTGTTGTGCAAAGCTAAATCCCTGACCCCTAGTCTACCTTGGTGCTTTGGTAAGATAATTTTAGACCACTTTACCAGGTGGAACTTGTGACCTTCTTTAGTCCCTTCCCATAGAAAGTTCCCATAGAAAGTTCCTTCTGATCTTATCCAGCTGCTTCAGGACCTTACTAAGCATTGGAAAGAGTGACATCTGGTAGGTTGGGATGCTGTCTAGGACACTACTGATTAGAGTTAGTCTTCCACCCATAGACAAATACTGCAGCTGCCAAGAAGCAAGTTTCTTTTTAAATTTCTCATATAGCTTCTGACCTGAACTTTGCCCCTAGTAGAAGTCCCATGTAAGTAGTTGGTCAACATCCAGTATTGCAGCCTAAAATTCCAGCCAAATCTTCTAAATTATGCACCTCATTAACAGGGTAGATTATACTTTTGAGCATGTTAATGTGAAGACCCGAAATAGCTTCAAATATAAGAAGGGTTAGATTTAGATAGAGCACTTGACTTCTGTCTGCCCCACAGAAAATCAAGGTGTCATCTGCGTAGAGCAGATGAGAAATATTGATTGTGCTTCCTCTTCCAACATCAAAACCTTTCAACCATTGCAACTGCTTAGCTTTATCCAACATCCTACCGAGTCCTTCCATTACTAATATGAATAAGAATGGTGAGAGTGGGTCTTCCTATCTCAATCCCCTCTGTGGAGAGAAAAAACCGACTGGGCTCCTGTTGATTAGAATGGAGTACTTCACAGTGGAGATATTGAACTTGATCCATTTTAACCATCTTTCCCCAAATCCCATTTGCCTGAGAATGGAAATGAGATAGGTCCAATTTAGTTGATCAAAGGCTTTTTCTATGTCCAGCTTACATAGGATCCCTGCATCCCCTTGCTTAAACTGCCAATCAAGGACCTCGTTTGCTATTAGTGAAGCGTCTGTAATCTGCCTTCCTTGTATGAATGCATTCTGTTGATTTGAGACCAATTTTCCCATTACTTTCTTCAACCTTTCAGCTAGGACTTTGGCTATGATCTTGTACACACTGCAAATTAGACTAATTAGTCTGTAGTCCCTTAGCTCCATTGCCCCTTTCTTTTTAGGAATGAGCGCAATGAAAGATGCATTACATGACCTAACCATCCAACAGTGCTGGTGATGGTAACTCATGGCTGCAAGTATGTCATGTTTAATGAACTCCCATGAGTGCTGGTAGAAAGCCATTGTGTACCTGTCGGGTCCTGGTGCTTTGTCGGGAGCAATAGAGCTGATTGCTGCAAGAACCTCCTCTTCATTGAAAGATGCCTCCAACCCCTCCTTTTCTTCTTCGATAATGGTTGCAATTTCTTCAAAATTAGCAGATGGCCTCCAACTTTCCCGCTCAGTGTACAAGTTTTCATAAAAATTCAGTGTCTCCAGCTTTATCTGCTCCCTATCTTCTATGATCTCATCCATGATCATGAGTTCGTCTATGAAATTGCTTCTTCTATGAGAGTTGGCAATCTTCTGGAAGTATTTGGTGTTTTTGTCTCCTTCCTTTAGCCAAAGACACCTTGACTTTTGCCTCCATAAGATTTTTTCTGCTTTGGCTAATTGCCGCAATTCTATCCTTATACTGACCATTTGATTCGCCTCAGATAAAGTCAACTGTCTGTCTTCTGCAGCCTGTTCTAGCGCCATTAGCTCCTCTAGTGCCCTGTTTTTCCTGGTTTCCACTTTCCCAAGCTCTTCCCTGTTCCAGGTAGTGATATCCTTCTTTAGGCTTTTTAGCTTTTGCACAAGGATAAAATCAGCTCTACCAGTGAATGTGTAATTCTGCCACCAGCTCTTTAGTTTGCCTAGAAATCCTTCTGATTGAAGCCACATGTTTTCGAACTTAAAAAAGGAAGGGGTTGCATCCCAGTCACCACTCTCCAAAATAATTGGTCTGTGATCTGAAATCACCTTAGGCAAGGCAATCTGTCTCACAGCATTAAAAGAGTCATTCCACTCATTGGAGATAAGGAATCTGTCAATTCTCGATGCCTGCAAACAATTATCTCCCTTCGACCAGGTATATTGAGCCTCTTGTAAGGGTAAATCAATAACATCTAGGTCCTAAATAATTTCAGAGAACAACTTCATTGCCTTTGATCTGCTGGTACAGTTCAACCTCTCACTCTCAAACCTAACAACGTTGAAGTCACCTCCCACTACCCAGTGATCTTCCCAAAGTCCCGTTATTCCAGCAATCTCACTCCACATTACTTCTCTCTCTGGATTGTTGTGTGGTCCATAGATTCCTGTGAAGCACCATCTGAATACTTCTGTGGTGCTTTCTAACATACAAGAGATGTAATAAGACCCCCGGTGTGCATCTTTTGTCCACCCAATTAGCCCATCTATTCCCCCATAATTGTTGAATCATTCTAGTAGAGCAATCTTCTACCTTAGTCTCCTGCAAACACAAAATATCCACCCTCCACTTCTGAATGAGAGATTTAATGGTGCTTCTTTTCCAATCCTCATTTAACCTCCGCACATTCCAACTCAAGATTTTTAGCTTCATCCAGAACACGAATGGTATTGCCTACCCCTTAACATGCTGCCCTCTTATGTCATAATTAATCCCACATGCTAATCTTTTCCTTTCCCCCAATCCTTTATTCCTCGTCTTCTTCCTTGCCTTTTGTTTTGATTCTTGTTGTTGGATTTGGACTTCTTTTCGTTGCTCCATCCTTAGAATTATGTTCAAAAGATCATGCTCGAACCCTGTCGCATTGACCCCAAATGCCTTGCACGCCTTGACCATAGTGATTTTGGTCCATTTTGAAGTCTCGATTAGGGATGGAGTATCAATAAGTTGTGCGCTGGGACCTCCCTCATACCATGTCAGTGGGAGGGCTTCACATATTGCTTGAGAAGAAAAATTTGTGTCTAAGCTAGTTGCTGGGACCATATCTAGTATCAGCGAATGTATGCGAAGTGGCTTGTGGAGTCTCTCTTCTGGGATCCCTTCATCATCTGCGACTGAAGGGGAGTTACTTGGACTCTGGTTTACCAAAGCCATGGGGCAAAATTGTGTCGTGTTCTGTTCCTTCGAGGATAAGGGTTCAGCTGCCTGTTCTTTTAATTTTGAAGCATTTGGGTCGGGTTTAAGCCCAGTTACCCTCTACACTGCTTTCTCGTTAAAAAGCTTTGACTCCTTTGACTTCCTTGATATGGTCTTCTTACTAATTGGGCCTTTTTTGTAATATTCTTGATCTGCTCCTCGGCCCGAGTTTTGTGATTGATTTGCAAGCCCTTTACCCTTTTTATCAGAGACCAATATAGCTGGTGGCCCTTTTACCTACTGGTTTACCAGATGAACCACCATTCAAATATAAGCTTTCAACATGTCCTTCTATATGTGAGACTGTTCCTGATGCGATGTTCCTGCCAACCTGTCCTTCTACATGTGAGACTGTGTCCGATGCAGGGTTCGAGGTGCCCACTCCTGCCATCTTCTCCCTTGCTTCACCGGAAAAGTATTTCTCGGCAGGTCTGATTTTTGTGTGAGCATCTTCTAGTAACAAGATTTCAAAGCCCCAGTCCTTCGTAATCAGCTCCAGGTTTCTTGGTAATTCTTCTCTTCGATTAACCACACAGATACGTGCCCAAAAAAAGTGAACTCTATGTTTAGTGTCATCGTCAATATTGACGAAGCCACCACACTTGTCTCCGATGAACTTGAAAGTGTCCGTCGTCCATGTGTGGATAGGAATTCCAAAAGCTTTCACCCATCGATGCTCCGATTTTGCAGATTTCATATCTGCTCCGGCCACCGGAGACCACCATTTCAAGGTCAATCTTCTTCCATTCCGGAACCAGTCACCAGGTTTGACTCTGTTTGCTTCGAATCTGGAAGGGAACTCAAAAAGGAACTGGTTGTGCTCGATGGGAGTGACCTTGAGACCCGCTGTGATTTGCCATCTGCTTGTGAACCATTTTTGAATTACTTCTGCCTTTGGGCTCAAGCTAAATGGGTCATTGAACTGACCTATGAGGCATTTCGATAGGAAGTTTTCATTTCTGAGCTCTTCGTGGAGTGCTCCATGTCCAACATTGGTATTATTTGTAGTTGACCAATGTGATATATTAGCAGCTTCCTTATAAGACCTTGATTGATCTGCATAGAGATAAAATCTTGGGTCTACATATGTTCCTAGATAACCTTGTATCATACCTGCTATGTCCCCCCATCCTTTATTGTAATTGCCTTCCGCTATAATGATTGCAGATCTGTTAGCCCCTATGATAGCTTCAATTCTGACGAACCGACCATAACTGTTGAAATTTTGGACAACCTGAAACGTGTATGTTTGCACCTTCCTGCCCCATCTTTTGCAGTTGTTGCCAGTCTGGAGAGAAGCTTCGATCAAAGCTTCGCACACCCACCGGAGGTTGTTGTCATCTATTTTAATCTTGCTTGAGAATCTTCTGCTACGTTCTGTAAAAATATACCATCCCTTAGTTTCCTCTTTGATACTCCTTAATGCAAAAGTTTTGCCACTAGAATTGAAGCTGAGCATTCGATCCATTCAGTTGACAGAGGCAACTGCTGTGACTTCTCTCTTCGTCGGAAGCAATTGAATTCAACAAAATGGTGGAAGTTTAAAGGCTGATGTTGGAATGAACAGGCTACCTTAGTATGTGAAAATGAGGTCCAGAAAACCACTGCTCGCACCGGAAAACACAATTCTGGTAACTGAAAATCCACAAAATTTCGAAGGGCCGAGTCGGAAAGGATAGGCGATCGGCACAGAAGAAAAATCAGACTTGGAAGATGCCGGAAATGGCCTCACGCGCCGGCGCGTAAGCGTTACTCTCACCGGAACCCTAACTTCCGGTGGCGCGTAGCGGCGCGTGGCGGCTTGCCTACCGGAGATCTTCACTGGGGATTGGTCGCTGGGGACCGGAGGACCTTGTGGTGGTGTTGGAATTTGCATAAACCCCACTGTTTAGTCGCCATCTGATCTTCACTGTTCATTGTTCACGCAGATATTCACTGTTCACTGGAGTCCCCATTTAAGTAGCAAGAAGATAAAGCTGGTCCTGGCTGATACAGTCTTATAATGTCATCCTTTAAGCTAGTCCCCCCCGTGGTAACCATAACTTGAATTTTTAAGTGCTTTCCCAGTTCTTTACAAACTTGGGATGTTTGGAAGGCCAATTCTCGAGTTGGGACAAGAATAACAGCTGCATATGAACGCACCAAACAACAGTCAGAAATGAAACTAAAACAGCGTGAACTAATTGCGCATCTAGGGTAAATACTACACCATATTTTCCTCTTAATTTGCAGGGATGCTAAATCTATGTTCGGACCAATTATAAGCTCTGTCATTAGCCCAATGTATCAAACATAGCTTGCTCGTGACCAAAATAAAAGCAAGATACTCACAGCACATCACTTCATGTGAAGCAAAGAAATGTAGCAACATAGACTATATATGATAGGAAAATGCCAGCAACATATGCTTCTTAGTTAAAACTTTCTATGGCAGGTCAACATTGACAATATAATGTAGGCATTACACTTCTAACTCTGAGTGACATAGTTGCTTCATTAATGAGGCCATGGAATGGGCACCCGTCGAAATTTGGAAATGGCTTACATTAACTTAGAACTCTGAATGAGTCAAGAAAATTGATAGAAGGGCTGAACATAGCTCACCAGTAAATAAGCCGGCCCAAGCTTAAGCTCACAACTGTTAAGATTAAACATAAAATTGAACTCAACAAGATTAAATTCAAGTCAACTACATACTGCAAAAAAATTGTTTACGAGAGCCTTTTTCCTTTTCTTTTCATGAACAAGTATTTTAGGAGCATGGGCTTGGATTTATCATTTAAGTTCAAAACTTTTTGATTTGGAAAGGAGATGTCTTTTTGGATATGGGAATTTAAATTCAAAATATTTATTTGCAAGAGCCAAAACTTCAAGAACTAATTGTATTACTTGACATTTTCTTAATTATTAAACTTCCACAATTGTAAATGAAATGCAATAAGCTCCATAGAATTGATCCAAAAAGAATTTTGTTTTAGGTGATTAAAATGTGACATGGAGATACGAAAACCATTACATTACAATTCCTCTAAAGAGAAAAATGGTAATCTACTTGAGGGCAGTGTTGTTAAAGGGTCATCTGAGACGCGCTTAAGTCCTAAATCTCGGTTAAAGCCAGGTTGTGGCTTCGCTTTGCTTAAGTACCCCTTAGTGCCTGCACTAAGGAGATAAGCTTATTTCCTTTAGCTCTGTCTCACATAGAGCAAAAATAGAGAACAAATATAGCTGGTAGACTAATACATGGATTGTTAAAAAGCATTAGGCATGTACTTTTAGTAATTTGGATTAAAAAAAGGACAACCCGGTGCACGAAGCATCCCGCTTTCACACAGGATCCAGAGAAGGGCCGCACCTAAACCATGGATAAGAAAACAAAATTTTAGCATAAAAAACTAGCTCCAAAAAATAAATTAAAAACTAGATCTTTTCATCTAAAATCAGAAATTTAAGGTGGTTTCTGACCTAGATTGATATTATTTTTACTTTACAAATTTCGCTTTATTATAGTTATTTTAAATATTTTGTCCAAATGGGTTCTTTGTGCTTGTAGTTATTTTTTGATGCATTGCACATTTTTTTATATTTTATCTTCATGTGCTTTTCTTTGTTAAAACCCACACTTTAGATCCGCTTTGTGCTTAAAGGCCCAACGGCTTTTTTTTTTTTTTTTTTTTTTTTTTTTTTTTTTTTTTTTTTTTTAGCTTTTGACTACTCTATTTGAGGAGCCTAAATGCATTTGGACCCAACTCAACTATTTGAGGAAAGGAGCTATGCCATACTATGCAAGCTTTACTAGCAATTCAATCCATGCTCAACACCAACTTTATGTAAAGCTTAGTTTACTTGCAGCCCTAGAGGCACTAGAGAGTTCACAATATAACTATAAGATTCCTAGATAAGAACCTTGAATCGCATTCTTGTCTTGATCAATTTTCTCTAAAGCAGGAATGCAGAAGGCAGCAGTCTTCCCAGTTCCATTTTTGGCCCTAGCCAAAATGTCACTTCCAATTAGAGCAATTGGAATGCTTTCCTCTTGGATTGGAGATGGTCTCTCAAAGCCCTTTTCATAAATTCCCATAAGCAGTTCATGCTTAAGAAAGTAGTCTTCAAACTCATTTCCCTTGGTTGCTGTCACACCCTTCAAGGAAAAGTAGTAGCGAAGCAACCAGTAATGCAAGTCCAAAGCAGAGAAGGATATATAAGCAGAAGGTCAAATGCCATTCGTGTATGCACAACAACCAGAAATAACCTCCTAAACAACACTACATCATCACAGAAATTTTCCTAGAGCCAAAAGAAAAAAGTCAGGGATAAAAAACCACACCAAGTAAGATGGAACGAGAACTCAACACTCAGTGAGTAAAATATCATAACTTAGATGTTATTATATTGTGCATAACATAACGTTAAAGCACGCAAAAGACTATAAATGTAGACTTACAATGCTATGCCACACATCATATGAATAGCCCCGCACTCCTCTAGCACTTGTGTGAATAATACGTGTGAGCACGTGATTTTTGTCCGACGAGAATACTCCTACAAAATTCACAAAAAAAGATTTTCATAATTATTTTATTTAGTTTTATAGAATTTTTAAGAATTTCCTATTAATTAATTGTTTACATTTAGTTGCGCATTTAACATCTTAAAATCATAGGAAAAACACCAAAAAATGTTCGATGATTCAGTGCATAGCATTTTAGACCTTAATTGCATTTAGAATTTAATTACATGAATTAATTGTATTATTAAAAGAAAAAATCACAAAAATTGTTCATTTTTACATTTTTAAACTTTTAGTGTTAAATTAGTATTTTTTTTTATTTTGTTTGTTTAAAATGATTAATTATGTAAATAGTATAAATAGATAATTAGTTTAATTTTACAAATTAGATTGATTTAGGGCTTAATTTAGGATCTTAATCAATTTAATTAGAGTTTAAAATTAAAAAAAAAAACAAAGAAAAGGGGGATTTATGTGGTCTTGTTCGAAATGGGCCAAGAGCATTGGCCCAATTACTCCAAAAAACCCCATAGTAGCCCCAGCCCAAGTCAAAAATCCGACCAAACCCATTAACCTGCCCCAATTTCCCTTTTAATCTGCACCCTTTCTCCCATCTCCATCTAATCCAACAGCCCTTTTTAATTCCCACCACCATATAAAAATCCAATTATAATACCCCCAAAACCCTAAACCTAATTCCCCCATCTCCCAAACAGCGCCCCCACTCCTCCTCCACCTTCTGCCGCGCCACCACCACCCACACTCACCGGAAAATTTCCCTCTAGCCATCACGTGGTCTCTCCTCTCATTACCTTCCACGTGGCCTGACAAATAACAGATTTTGTACAAATCGAATCTTTCTCATTTTCCCTCACGCACTCATCACATCCGAAAATCAATCTGAAGACGAGATTAGGATGAATGGGAGGCGTAGGATTGAGTCTCACTCGATCTACTCCCTCCACTTGTCTTTTACTTGTTTCAAGAGATAGAATTTCGAATTTTTTAGAAAGAGAAAAAAATTTCATGACTTGGAGAGGAAGTATAGAAGATTCTAGAGCTTCTATATATTGGGGGTCGTTTATTTTTTAAGGGGAGATTTTTTTTTAGGGAAAATTTCGGAGAGAAAAAAAATAGAGATAAAGAACTAGGTTTTGGGTTTTTTCTTTTAGATTTTTCACCTTCTGATTTTGGTTCTTGTTTATTCATATATATAAAAATACAAAAAAAGAGTGAGTTTTTTTTTCCTGGTTCCATTTTTACTTCAAATCTATAAAACAAAAATCTTTGTTTCTCCATTTTAATTTTTTTTCGGATTTTGTCTAAATCAATGGAGTTCGATTGAGTTGTTGTTGGTTTCGAGTTTTTCTGGTGCCGTTTGAGGTATGATCGTGGTTCGAATCCGGGTTTGCGATCTTTGTTTGGTTCTGTTTGTACTTTATCTCTAAGATTGTACTCACAAACTTCTTCTATTGATATTAAAGATAATCTCGTTCAAACATGTTCGTGTCTTTACTATTCTATTTGTGTTAATTGCCTATTGTGAATCTAAGACAGAGGAGCTATTTCAAGGCGGGGTTGTTGGTATTTTGTGTTAATCGCTTAGATACAGAGTCATGGGCAAAAGGGTAGCGAGGGTTTGTTAATCTCATATTGATTTAACCTACGCCATTTTGGCTGTTATTCCCATTTTTTTCTTTTCCTTTCTAAGAGTGAATTAATGCTCGACTTGTTTGGATCTCGTATTACCGTAGTGTCATTACGATGAATTTGTACTTAACTGTTTGTGGGTATTTGTTCAAGTACAATATTATTTCTTACTTACTACTTGTTCTAGCCTAACTTCATGTTGGAGATATATTTTAAGGATTTTGTTTAGTCTCATTACAGTCTTAAGGTAAGATGAAATCGTGGGCTTAGAAAGATTCAAGTGATCCATTTTGCTTGGATGTTAAAAATCAGATTAAATTTATCAATTTGCACTCTTTGGTTTCTCATGATGGAGCTGTACATAATAATTATAGCAAAAGCTCATGCTGATGATATTTTATTATATGAAACTTTGAAGCTCTTGTACGGTGTGAGTTATGTGCCTCTTGTTTACTCTGTCGGCATTGTCTTCGTCCGCTTTTTAAGTCACTAATATATATCGCTGCTCCATTAGATGTGTCTGGTGCATAATTGCATATGGAGATGGGAATTGAGAAATGGCTTTTCTAACAGCTTTGGTTCACTTCCTTTACTAATTTGTCATTTATTCTTCTGTCAATTATCTCTCTATTTAATCTCTTTCAATGATTTGAGTGTTTAATTGTTTGGATGATCATCTTATTTTGCTTCTATGGATTTTGAATGATAGATGTCGGGGTGGGTTCGGAAAGACCGAGCTCATTAGTGATTGAATTGTCTACATGCCTTGAGGCATTGAGCTTGGTTAAATACATAAAAATAAAAGTTTAAAAGGGAATGAGCATGAAAGCTCTCGGAGTGTGCTTTAGGTGCGTAAAGTAAACCATTGCGACTATGGGTATGATTCTCATGGCATAGTCATGATACGTAAACCTCAATCTGGGTGTGCATTTCATGTGACCCGACCATAACTTCGAACAATAATAAAAGTTCACACGTTGTAAATCGCGGGTACATTTCACATGGTGCGATTCGCAATATGTACAAAAATAATAGGTGTGCGACATCGCGACTTATTCAAACAAGTTCCATAAATACTAAAAGTGGTTAAAAGGTAAAAAATGCACAACAGGTCTCCAATATGTAATAAATCAGATAATTAGGCCAATTATTAATAGTTGAGCGACCGTGCTAAAACTACGAAACTCGGGAGTGCCTCACACCTTCTCCCGAGTTAACAGAATTCCTTACCCGGTCTTTTGTGTTCGCGGACCATAAATAGAGTCAAATTTTCTCAATTTGGGATTTAAAATAAATCGGTGACTTGGGACACCATAAATTATTCCAAGTGGCGACTCTGAAATTAAATAAATAATCTCATTTCAAATAATGTCACTTTAATTAGAAAAACTCCCCTATCCCCCTCGGAAAAAAAGAGGTGTGACAGCTCTAGCAACTTTGCTGGGGATTAAGAACCCAGAATCTCTGGTTCAGGGTTCAGGGTTCAGAATTCGAGCTTAGAATAACTGTTATACTTGGCTTTTGTCTATTATATGATTTTTACGTGTTTGAACCTAATGTGTTAAACGTCGCTTTTTACCGCTTTGATATTATGTGAACTGTATATAAACTGCTACGAAACCCTTCTTCTCTCTTAGTCTTCTAAATCTTGTAGGGAGCGTGTGCTTCGCATAGTTTCTTTTCTGTTAGAGTCATACCCTAATTTTAAAATGAGGTTCGGACAAGTTGCAAAGCCGGTGAAGCTTCTGTATTCCCAGTACGCTGCCCCCTCTTGGCTCGAGTTGTTCGCTCGGGTAAGCCGGGTCTAGAACAATACACCCAGGATTCAAACTTAGAATGACATAGCCTCATGCCGGATCCCTAGTAGGTACGTTTATTTGCATCACGTGCATTTAACTTTGGGGACTCAATACAAGGGTTGGGTCTGTCTAGGACAGGTGTACCCAAAAATCAAAAGACCATCCTGATGCATTTTACGTGCTACTTGTGCATGTATTTGTTTCGGCTTGTATGTTGACCGGCTTCTAGAACAGGAAAAGAAAAATAAGAAAATCCAAGAGTGAGGTAGGATAGAAAAATACCCGATTTTGATAATTCCGGTATTCAAAAAACAAATCTCGAAACTCTGCCTAAATTTTGGAAAAAAAGAAGAAAAAAAGAAGAGAAGTCATTTCAAAATAGATCGTATTTTCCTGTTACGTCAAAATTTACTGAATTACGTGGGTTTGATTCCCACCGGACGTGGGATACGTAGGCAACCTTCATCGGGTCCAGCCCCGATTTTGCACAAATAACCAAAAATATGAAAAATGCTGTCACTTTGTCATAAATAAGTCTAGGTGATCCCGTTTTTTGTCCAAATAGCCAGAAATGTCCCGACGGGACGTCGGAAGGCCGTTTTGGCAAGAATTGCCACCTATGGTCCATTTTTAATTTAATTTTGACTACTTAGCAAGCACAGCCCTAAAATCTTCCCTTTTGAAGTGCCGAAGGGCCGTATTTGCAAAGGTGGCCTTGAGTTGTTTTAAGTTGTACTTTGCAAAAATAATCTTTTTGGTCAATAATTAAACAAAAATTTAAATGTTTTAACCAGTCCCCCTAAAATTAAATGTGTAAGATGAGCACCGTTGAAAATATACCTTTTCGAGTCGTAGATGAGATTCCACTAAGGCTCTACATGTGGTGGGACGACTTGGGGGAGGACAACAAGCGTTCTGTGACCAAAGCTCTAGGTAGGCTCACCGGTCTTCTGAAGATTAAACCCAGGGTTGATATAATTGAAGCCTTGATACCTTTTTGGGACCCGACGCACAACATCTTCCATTTCTCTAACTTCGAATTGACCCCTACACTGGAGGAGATGGCAGGTTACACTGGTCTTGACGGGAATCTCAGGCACCAATATCCAGTAGCACCAAGGACTGTAACCCCTCATAAGTTTTTGGACCTTCTGAGCATTATTCGACAGGTTAAAGATAGAAATTTGGCCGAATGATTCTGCACATTCCACTTCTTATACAGCCGGTATGGGGACCTTCGCGGATTTGAGGCTCCGGACACTGGTTTGAGTCATCAGGGAAATAAAAACAAATGGGAAGCATGTAGAGGTTTAGCCTTCGTAGTTGCATTTTAGGTATTCTGATATGCCCCAGGAGTGGCAGACATATAGAGTTGGGACTTGCAGGAATGGTAGACTTTATGGTCAAAAAGGCCAACGACACTCTTATACCGATGATTCTCGCAGAAATCTATCGAGCTTTAACCGCCTGTCGAGCTGGGACAAACTTCTTTGAGGGTTGCAACTTGCTTTTGCAAATATGGCTGGTGGAACATCTTTGCCATTGCCCGAGGTACATGAACTACGGTCTGACCGGACTCGATTGCATTGAAGAATATGGAAATCGGGTAAACAGTCATGAGTTGCCAGAAGGTACTGAGGCATGGTTCGCGTATTTGGGTTCTTTGACCGCAAATCGAATTGAGTGGACTTTCGGTTGGCTCCCGATCGACGAAGTTATTTACATGTCTGTCGGAGTGTGCTTTCTTTTATTAATGGGTCTTTGAAGTATTCAGCCCTATGCCCCGCATCGGGTCCTACGCCAATTGGGCAGATACCAAACAGTCCCTCATGATGAATATTTGAGTCCGCAGGTTATTGAACTATGCCCAAAAGCCACATTCCCATAAGAAAGGGTTGTAGGTTCCTGGAGCCACAGACTCAAGTACGAGATTTGTCCATGGGTGAAGTAGGATCCAACTAAGCCATATAGTATGGTAAGAGAATTCGGGTCGATCAAGAACCAGAACAGCCCACCAAAAGGTCCCATATCCAACAATTCACCGATAGAGTGCGAGAGCAATGGGTTTGGTTAGCTACAAAAAAGTAATACCGGACTACTATAAGCAAACTAGAAGAACAAATTGAAAAAATCAAATTTGATAGTAGTTTGTAGGCAGCTGAAGATGAAGGGGAAAAGAAGAGGTTGGCTAGGGAAAATGAAGCCCTTCAAGCCCAAATCCAGAGAATGAAAATAGCCGCTGAGACATCGGTAAGAAGTGAGAGAGATGAGAAAATTATAACCAACCTAAGGCGGAAAGTGCATGATTATGATTTTAACTTGACAAAGGCTGAGAAGGACTTGCTAAATGCTCAAACAAAGTTGACCAAAAGCGCAGAAGAACATGCCAGATTAGCCCATCAGTTGAAGCAGAAATATGAAAAAGAAGTAGCAACTTTGAAGAAAAAGCTGGTCGCCGTTGAGAGTGAAATGGTCCAACAAACTAAGGATTTTAAGGCAGAAAGGGAGCATTGCTATCATTGATTTGCTGACTAGAAGAAAGCATGCAACAATTGCAAGACCAAAACAACACTGATACACAAGTGCTGGAAGCTCGGGCCCAGCAAATCAGACGGTTACTTCGAGAGAAGGGTGTCTTCAGGATGAGGATCAAAGAGATAACTTATTATGTCATAATAAAATGTCACAAATGTGAAGACATAACCAGGTCTATGTTTTTTGCTTCCGTGATGACCTTCGTTCACCAAGTGATGGTTGACCTAGACCGCCTTCAGGAAGACATTGCACGAAGGCCCGCGCAAATACAGGCTGATGTCCCGCAGGCTCCCACAGTACCAGTGGAGGCTCTCATGTACTTTTGACTTTCCAATTTTCGAGTCTGTACTTTACTGCTTTCTATAGTTTTGTTCAAAATTGTTTTGTCGTTTATTTTGAGTCTGTATGTTTTCTTTTTTAGTCCTTAGTACTTTTGTAATAGAAAACCAAAAAAAAGAAGAGAAAAAGATGTTTTGTTAAAAAAAATGCGTTTTTGTTATTTCGCATTTTTCCCTGAACTACGTAATGATCAGATTAATGCGGCAGCATGATACGTAGGCAATCCACCTAGGATTCGATCATAGCCTTAAGATAATAAAAAAAGAGGTTTATTAAAAGAGAGAGAAAAGAAGAAAGAAAGAAAGTGAAAAGGCAAAAAAAAAAAAGAAGAAAGAAGAGATGGCAAAGCCGGGATGAAACACATAGTCGTTGCAAAAATATTTAGAAGCGTTTAATTGTCCAGGTGCATTGCATCCCCGATATAAGATTCCATATGTGTTAAATGTCTCAAACTAACCCGGTTTGTTGTGTATGCAAATTGAGACATATCCTATTTTTAGGTGGTTGGTTTTTGTGGTAATCTGGCTTCACATCCTTACTTCACGAGATCTAAGGAAAGTATCGTCATGGCCTCAGAAAGTCATCTACCCATCATTGAGCCCGAGGATAGACCGATATCGACTATCCCCCAGTCAGAGTCAGCGGCTGCTGAGGAAAATAGAAGGCTACGATGTCGTATGCTAGAAATGTGTGTCGCATGGTCCAACGGCAGGGAACCACCCACTATTATCCCTAGATTCCCTGAATTGATCCCCAGGGGGGAGGAACTACCAATGTACCTATACCAGTAACCAACCCGTTCATCCCGTTTGGGTACCCCACCATGTCAGCCAACTTTGCCAGCATGCCTTCTGAAGTTCTCCCCCAAGCACCGTCTTCAGGAATAACATCTACAGTGTTCACAGCACCTCCACCCTCTACTATGGCATAGCCAACACTGCCTCGACAAAGCTTTGAACCATCAACTTTCACTTTCCAAGCACCCCAATTCCAATTGGACACCGCTCGGGCTACCCCAAATTCCTATCCTCAGCACCCACAAATCGAGTCTCCCATAGAACATAAGAGAGCTGTGAGGAATCCTAAACAACAGTATATAGCATGAAAAATGAAAAACATCGAGCAAAGCCTCAAGAATATGCAGGGCCTGAGTGGCCAAAAGAGCGTTTCTTATGTTGATATGTGTATGTTCCCTCACGTGCATTTACCTGTTGGCTTTAAAACGCCAAATTTCGAAAGATATGATAGGCATGGAGACCCGATTACTCACTTAAAGCGATATTGTAACCAGCTGAGGGGTGCTGGTGGAAAAGAGGAGCTGTTAATGGCTTATTTCGGAGAAAGCCTCACCGGAATTGCTTCTGAGTGGTATATGGACCAAGACATCTCCCATTGGCATATATGGGATGACCTGGCCCGAGATTTTGTAAGGAAATTCCAATACAATGTTGATATAGCCCGGGACAGGAATTCTTTGACCAACCTAAAAAAGAAAGCCTCAGAAAGTTTCTGGGAATATGCTATCAATTGGCGTGAACAAGTGGCCAGGGTAAAACCCCCAATGGATGAGGCCGAGATGGTCAGTGTCTTCTTACAAGCCCAGGAGGGCGATTAATTCCAAAACATAATGTCTTCCATGGGCAAACCGTTTGCGGAGGCCATCAAAATTGGAGAAATGGTAGAAAACGGCCTGAAAACAGGCCGCATCTTAAGTCAATCAGCTTTAAGAGCCACTTCCCAAGCCATTCAGAGCGGCTCGGGAGGTTTAGCAAGCCGGAAGAAAAAATAAGAAGGAGACATGATGGCTTTAAGATTGAGAAACTCTCGTCGACCCCGGGATTATTCCGGTCCACCTTCCAGGACCCCGCAACATTATTACCCCCATCAGGATGCAGCATATTCTAAGGCCCCTCATCCTTATGCAGTAATGAATGCTCAGCCAAACACCTGGCCATAACAACATTACAATCAGAACAGAGCTCCACCTCCAAGAAACAACCCTCATCACCAAGCTCCGTATAATCCCCGTCCACCACAGAACAATTACCAATATAACACACGTCCCCGTGAACCACCCAGGAAAACTTATTTCACCCCTATTGGTGAATCTTACTCCAGCATGTTCCCAAAATTAGTCCAAATAGGTCTATTACAACCTGTACCTCCAAACAGACAGAACCCAGAATCTCCATCTTACCGGCCAGGTACTAGGTGCGCTTATCACTCAGGGACGGAAGGGCATGACACTGAAGATTGTTGGACCCTTAAGAGAGCATTCGAGAATATGATAGAACAGAAGCGGGTAGTGTTAAGGGACGAGGAAGCCCCAAATGTAACCAACAACCCGTTACCGACTCACAACAACATGCCGGTCATCGGGATGATCTATGAAGACAAAGAATTCTACCCAGCATTAAAAGCTATCATTGCCATCGTTGACTCCGAAAAGAAACCCAAAAAGGTGGCAAACCAAGTCAGGGATGAGAAAAAGATAAATTCCACTCCCCAAAATGCAGAAAAGGCCGGGGAAACAAAAACAGGGGCAACACATACTAAAGACGCCATTCTCTACGTGCCCATGGCCTCGAGGAAGGAGCAATTCGTGCTAAGCATTCCCAAAAAATTTGAGCAAAGGAAAGCCATGCTGGAGCTGCCAAAATTGTTCGTGCCCCAAGGGACTTATGTGGTGCGGGGGCCGGTAATTTCACCAAGGCTGACTGAGCCCGTGGTTATCGGCCGCACGCCATAGGTCCC